TACTTTTTCTGTGCATTTGGTTTTATAATTATAAATATTATTTATGATCATTCCCAGACAATTATTGTTCACAATTTACTGTTATATTTACTATTTACTAATGTTTGCTCCTTGATCATGTAAAAACAAAATATATATTGTTAAGTAAGGAGATGTGGATGTGTCACTAAAGAACTATGCTTTATGTTCAGTAACCTGATTACTGTGTCAAAGCAGTAGCATAAACTACACCAGATGTGATTATGTTTAATGTCCCCGACAACCTCTTTAGTCTCATTTAGAAACGCGTAAAGGCTTAAAGAACTGGGGTATTTACTGACGTATTTTATGTCGTAGAAGAAAACATGAAAATGTCTTGAGTTAATAACAGAAACCCACAGACTTCAAGACGAGGGAACAGGAAGTGCTAAAATGCTAACTTACCTCTGGGTTTTCGAACTCGAGCTAGTGAAGGTAAAAATGAGGGTAGCTAGCTAGGTCTTTGCAGCTAAGCTAATGACAGAGCAGCAAGAGGATGCTAACTGCTAGACTTTTAGATTAATGGTCTTTATTTATATTTTTAACCAGATTTACTTGACATATGCTAACAAGCTAACCTGCTCTGCATTAAAGTCATTTAGCTCCACTGAATTTTAATTAAACCTTGATGAGGGTCTGTAAAAAAAGAAATCAGGATAACAAGAGCTTTGGGAAGCTTGTGTTTTGAAAAACCTTGGTTTAGTATTTGGTTGGGTTGTAACAAAAATTTCTCTGTGGCATTAGTATTTATTAAAAATGATACTGACTGCCTACTGTATACTGTATTTCTTAAACTGTTACACCACCCTAGATCTCTGTGTGTAACAAAACGGAGAGTTAAAGATGGAAAGGTGAGTTCTTACATTACTTTGACAGGACTTCATTAATTAATGGCACTTAATGGACTCATTGGTCGCTGTGTGGAAAGCACTTGATACCCTCCGGTTACAGTTACCATGTTAACGCACACACACAAACACAGAGAGGCAGCCGCCGCCGCCACGCTGCCGTGAGATGCCAGGTAAGATGAGGCTCTGAAATGCAAATGTGCTTAAAGATAAAGCCGGTGCATATTTCATAGCGAACACGGCAGCTTCGCTTCTCTGACATGACAATGAGCTCTTACTGTCCTGTCTGCTCAGTGGGGCGTGCGACCACGGCCACAAATGCAATCCGCACCTCGCTCACTGGAACAGATTCAGCTCTGTACCGCAGGAAACGTAGTGTATCTGTTATAAAGTGTGATATATACTGTGTGATATCCCTTAGAAATAAAGATATAGATATGCAGTGGTGGAAAGTACCATCAAAGTGAGTAAGTACCATCACCTATGTACTGCATTTAAGTATAATAATATTAAGGTACATGTTATTCAATTTTATGCTACTTCATAATTCTACTAATACCTCTACTTCACTACATTTCAAAGGGAAATATTGTACTTTTTACTGCACTGCATTTATCTGACAGCTGTACTTACTGTACAGATTTTACATCCAAAGATGTTTTAAGTTTACAAATCCTTGGTGTTTTTATGCATATTTTATTTTACTGTATATTTATATTTTCTAATTATTTTAGTCTTTATTTATTTTAACATATGCTGCCAAGAGGATTGCTGCCAAACTTCATTTCGTTGTGTTTTTTAATGCAATGACAATAAAGAATCTATCAATCTATTGAGTGCCATTACAGTATTGATGATTAAACCAGTGGTTCCCAATCTGTTCCCCAATCCCAAGTGTCCAGTTGGAATTTCATATCATGTTTCAGATGTCTGAGTTTCCACCAAGCAGACATTTCCTATGTTAACTTCACATAAATTTCTATTATTTTGTTAAACTATTTAACAAAGAATCAAACAGCAGAGAAAAGAGAACAAACTTGTGAAGCCACATCCTTCAAAAGCTGCATTGAAGAAGTTTCAATGTTGAACTTTTATTTGTTAAGGAGTATTGTATTGGTACTTCTACTTAAATAGAATCTCATAAAGAATCTGAATACTTCCTCCACCGCAGCTGAAACTGCATTCACACTAAACTGGTGAAATCTGGACGTAAATACTCTTCTCTCGGTTTTGACCCTCAGTTCACACCAAGCCCGCGCTCTTCACACCACAAAAATAAAGCTATTTGAGAATTAATGAATCCTGAACCAGCGCCTGGTGTACCGTTCATGTACCTGACCTCTGACCTCTGAGGTTGACTTGCATAGAAATCTACTTTAAGTGATTAATAATGTATCGTATTATATTAGAGTGTGGGGATGTTGCCGACTGTGATCCTCAGCAACTGACTAAACAAACAGATGTGTTTGTGTGAGAGAGAAAATAAGACCGTCTCACACACACACACACACACACACACACACACACACACACACACACACACACACACACACACACACACACACGAGTCACCACAGGACCTGAGGGTTTTTGTTTACATGTTAAATTAGCATGTACATGTTGGAGGAGACATGAACTCTGCAGATTAACATCAACGCAGAGCGGCCACAAATCATCACACGCCAACAGACACGACACTGGCTCATCCAAGAGTCTCTGGGAGTTTGTAGCCCTGAGTTTAGCCTCTCAGGCTGTGGACCGCACCAACAACTTCCACCAATCGCGCATCACTGGATCAACCATGTTGACGAAGAGAAAAAATAAATGAAAATCTAAGTGTATTAGAAGATTAAAATTTAGAATTAAATTTAACTAAATAATACCTGAAATGCAATATATCACTTACAGAAGCTCTGAAAGGCATGTGAACATTTTTGAGTCTGTAAAAGCAATGCCCTGAAAGGAAAGAGAAGTTTCCATCTGTATAAACACCCGCAAGAGGCAAGTGATTTTTATTTCTGACAAGGGGAAAAAAATGCAAAAAATAATACAACAATAATAATAACGATAATAATAATCACTTGCCTTTCAAAGCTTCCATAATTATGTGCCTGCAATGCACGTTATGTTAGCTTATTGCTTGTTCACCTGCTCTTTTGCTTTATCACTGGTTGCAATCTGTGTTTCTGAAGTTTTATTTTCTTTTACATATAATGAATAGAAAGACTGTGTCAAGCTCCGCCTTAAGACGGAGGACCCGTGTAGATCCAATCCAATCCAATCCACTTTATTTATAAAGCACAATTTAAATAAACACAAAGGTTCCCAAAGTGCTGTACATTTAAATAGACATAGTGAAAGACAGAATCATTAAAAATACAATAAAACATAGTACAAAATGGCTAAAATTATCTGTGCACATAAAATCAACAACCTAAGCGGTGTTAAAAGCCAAAGAAAAGAGGTGCGTTTTAAGAAGAGATTTAAATGTGTAGATAAATATGTAGATAAATGACTTCAACAAGTTAGGGATGAACTTTACTGACTTTCAAATGACAACAGAAAAGGATGCTAGGACCCTCCTTAGGACTAAGACAAAATACTCAACCCAGCAAAGGGCTGGGGGACAGTAGAGCTCTAGTCTGCAACTGTGGCCCATCATCATGAGGGGCCTCATCCATGTCATGGCAGTGGTGTTGGCATGGTTTCACAATTCCCTCTAGATTATCTGCATAATATAACAGAAAACTGTTAGAAATGTGTTCCTATAATCCTGTGGAGTTTACCCGAAAACCCAGATCGCTGAGGGAACTGGACCGTTGGGAGGCCACTGAATTAAGGCAGTCTCAGGTGTAATGCTACAGGCACCTGTCTTCATGCTACTGTTCTCAGGTGTTTTAGTAAGTCCTCTACGACATGAATGAAACTGAAAGTAACGTGAGGAGAGAGGTAGTGAAGCAGCAGGCACATTCAAAAGTTCTCCAGGAATTTTCTTGTTACCTCTATTATTATTACTACAGTAAAAAGTATGATAATTAATAATATCTGATTGGAATTATTTATATTGTACAAAAAATAAAAAGCCACATTTTTTAAAGAAATATTTCTATTTAAAATAATTATTTGGATAAGTTTTCAAAGGTATAAGGGCGAGTATGCAAACATGTGGTGTATTTCCCATATGCTTTATGTTTCTATGTTTGTGTGCGGCCCGACAGATTATAACTCACCTCAGAGAACAGTGGCTTCAGGCACGAAGCTGCTCGTTACTGTCAGGATCTCATTAAAACAGGCACGGCCTGATAGTTGAGCTGCATTTAATGAGCTGTTTGCCTGATCGCTGTCACCCTGAGCGTAGGCGGCCATCTATCTGAGCACCCCGAACAGAACAGCTCACTCAGCTGAAATGAAGCCTGACGGGAGCTTCAAGGGCGCAGCAAAGTGCCGGCTCACCTAAAACCCACGCCAGTGTCTCTCTCTGACCTTGTGTCAGACATCCTGTCCGCTCAGGCTGCAGAGTCCTCTGCTGTGAGGTCGCCTTGCTCTGCAGCGCACAGCGTCACCTGTGTGGCCTGTTCACCTTTTCACTGCATTTAGTTTGACTGTAGTTGAGCTGATTTTTTTAGGGTATCACTGAAAACCATTTGCAGGATTTGCAGGAAAACTAAACACACATAACATCCCTGAAATCTGATCTGGAATCATTATCGCTGTATAGTCCAGTGATCCACGTTGAATTGAAATCATGATTAATTTCATTACATTTATATACAATGAAAAGCCTTGACTGATAAATATTTACTTTGGTATAAATGTATTAACAGAACAAAACAGAAAAGCAAATGCACAAAGAAAGAAAGCGGAAGATAGAAATACACACACACACACACACACACACACACACACACACACACACAAAACAAATATTGTGTTTCAGTGAGAAGAATTCAAAATTCATAGTAAACACATCATTATTTTTCCTTTACCAGTCTGTTGCTGCCCCCTGCTGTACATGCACATTTGGAAAGAGTAGAAAATAAAAAACTACTTGTTGATACTCCGGTTCAGTTTAGGTGTCATTAAAGGTCACACACTTTTATCTAGAATTCAATATGTCCCCACAACATCAGTAATGCCTGGACAAGTCACACTCAGACACACCTTGTTGATTTCTGCTCTCACCTCTCTGTTGATTGGTCAGATTTCAGGTCACAGTTTAGTTTTCTCTCAGCCATGAAGCCACTACTTGAGCCGAACCTGTGTGGACGTAAAGACTTGCAGCTCTGATGGTGAGTGATTTCTGTTGTGGTTTTAATTCATAGTAAGTTTTGACTTTAATTTTAAAAACAGTTTGTAGCCGACAGTGATTTTATTTGTGCTGCGTCTCCAGATGAAGCTGGCGTTGTTGTTGCTGCTGACTCTGTCCTCAACTAGTCTTCAGGACGTAGTGAAGGACTCACAGCACAGAAATGGTAAAACAAGAAGCAGCATTATGAATGTCTCTTCACTGAAGACAAAAGTGTCCTCATTTGTGCTTCACTGATGTAGGATGTCTGATGTCTCCACTCTCATCAGTCTGGTCCTGTATTTATTTAACTTGCAAGAATGACACAAAAGAGTGAACATCAGAGAAATTATTTAATTTAAGAAGAATTTAGGACTTTAAAGTACTATTTTTATTTTTAGGCATTGAACCCAGGCTACAGGCCTCAGCGTCAGGTAACAGTGTTTTACTTGAAGCTTCGTCAAAAAACAAAACGAGAATAAAAACAGGCACGGGGAAGGTCATCCCAGGTAATGATCCATAAGGCAAACAAATCTGGTTAGGGACAGGCAACAGTCCAAAGGTCAGCAACAGGCTGACATGACTACAGGCAGAAAACACTGGACAATCTGGTGCAGAGGGAATGAAACTGGACAGGTGATGACCACAGACTAATGATGGAGGGGGAGGCAGGTGAGTAGGTGGACAGGGAAACTCAGGTGAAGGGAATGAGGCAACAAGAGGCTGGATCTGAAATGACAGGAGAATAAGAGACAGGATTAATGACAGACTAAGTTGTGTCATTATTAAGTAAAGATTTAAATGATGGAATGCTTCAGTCAGCACACAATTTCAATAGGGTAGTGACACTGCCGTATCACAACATGGAAATTAGTCCGCCATTAAGTTTGAAAATACACTGATGGCGAAGAGAAGTGTCCAGCGTCCCACGTGCAATTTTTTGACCATTTTGTGTCCACCGTCTGCGTGTTACTTGTCAATGTGAACGCACTTACGCAGCCAAGATAGCAAGTGTGAGTAGAAGATGAACTGAGACGCAGCAGAAGTCGCTGACTCGCTCAAACATCATCTTCACTACAGTGGAGAAAATAAATTTTACTTAATGATTGATTGAAAAGACAGTAAATCACAGTGTTTCATCATTTTATGCTGAACGTTTTTGCTGTTCTCTGCTCTGTAAAACATTTCATAAAGACCTTTTCTAAATAAAAACAACCTTTCCTTTTGGTTTACATTTAACGTTGTTCCCTTTCTTTTATACAGACCTCGTCCTGGACCCAAATCTAGAGGACAGAGGTCCTGAAATCACAGCTAACACATCGTCTCTGAAACATCAACATCTTCTGTCTCCTCACAAGATAAGACAGAAAAGACATCCTCTGCCTGATCCCTCCACATTTAATACTAATGGCCAACTTAAATGGCAGCGCTGGGATGGTTCTCTCTCCAACGAAGCTGTTTCGATTGACAACACATATGTTGGACGCAAAGACTACGTCTGTAAATACCAGTGCCATGCTGGCTTCTACAATCCCAACTCTGGTTCTTACTGCCACTACACCAATGGAGGTGAAGTGCATAAAGACCCCTCATTCGAGATCCTTGTGAATGAAAACAATTTTGAGATCCTGGAGTGGAAAAAGGGTTCAGCTAATTCAGCTGTCCAACATTCAGTCAGGACCTGTTCTAGTGATGAAATCTATGTCGGGAGAAACGAGTACGGTCTTGGGAAGGTGCATCAGATAAAGAAGACCTTCTTTCTTCCTTGGAAAACTAAAGTATATACATACGGGGATAATTACGAGGTCCTGACAGTCAGTAAGGATGTTAAGAGTGAGCACATCTCCAAAGTTGAGTACAACAATAACGAGGCTAAAATCACCCAGTATCCTTCAGCGACCATGCATGTTTCTACGATTGTCAACAATGAGTGCAGTTCAACGTTGAAAACATTTAATTTTTCAAAGACATATCAGATGAAGAGAAGGTGGGACATCCACTCTTCAGTCATGCTTGGTGAAAAGAGGACCATCTCTGCAGCAATACCTGTCATAATGTTGAATTTAGGCACTGTGGGACTTCCCGTCAGCCAGTCGAAGAATATAAGTATGGAGATCAGTCCGGAGTTGTCACCCGAGTACTCGGGAGCACTCACCGATACACAGGACTTCACCCACTCTACTTCTCTGGAGCTCAACATCCCACCAAACCACTACTGCAGAGCTTATATAGCGGAATATCATTTCAAGGTAAACATCCCATTCAGCGCACGCCTCGACCGCACATACGGCAATGGAAAGTCCACAGGGAGATCCGTCACTGGGACCTATGAAAACATCTGGAATGGAGAAGTCCAAGCTGTGGTGGACCGATGTGAACCTGTAGCTAATGCCTCGCCTTGCCCCGAAAATCCTGATCCTAATTCACATGTACCATAATAACAAATGTGAAAAAATGTCTTGTGCATGTTTGTATGAAGCACATGTCAAGATATTTCCTTGAATGAGATGAATGAGACAGCTCTCATTTATGCACTATGTTAATATAATGTACTTTTAATTTCTCTTCAATTATTGTTTTGTAATCAACAAATAAACCTGTGAAAAGTTTATATCAGACCTTGTAAGTCACTTTTGAGGTAGCATTCAAAACATCTGCTGCAGTATCACTAAAATGTTAATTAATTACAAATCTTGTCCATTTATGCACATGTAAACACACATGTCCTGTTTGTATTCCTAATAAAATAAATACTGTGTATCAGTGCTGCCTCTCTGCTGTAAATGTAAATTTGCTGACTTGCGATAACAGGATTTTAATTCTCAGCCACGAAGAAGTGGTCAGTAGACTTATCCTCAACAAAACACTACTTGCCTAACCCTAACCTGAACATAACCTTGTCTTCACCTTGGATTTTAAGAATTTATGTTATGGGGACTTGTTGTTTGTCCTCTTAACGAAGATAAATCTCCATGATGTGACTGTGTAAACACATTTAGGTCCACACAACAGTAATACTTGGACAACACACACACACACACACACACACACACACACACACACACACACACACACAAACATACTGATTTCTGCTTTCGTCTCACTGTTGATGGTCAGATTTCAGATCACATTAAAGTACATAACCATGAAGCTGCTACATGAGCTGGACCTGTGTGGACATCATAAAGACTTGTAGTTCTGATGGTGAGTGACTTTTGTCGTGGTTTTAACTAATGGTAAGTTTTCACATTGATTTTAAAAATGAATCAAAACAGGGACCTGTTAAACCCAAATGTCAGATTATTAATGCTGTTGTGTTAGTCTGGTTTCCACTTTTTAGAGCACATGGAGATGTTTTCTAAAAAGTTCATTAAAAAGTTTGTGAACACGGCACCAGTGCCAAAGGTGATGTACTTTCCACTTTGCTTAAAACAGGAGGTACAGACACAAGAAAGTTAATTTTTAAGTCAAGTGAACTGAGCAGCTGGTAGATATTTTGACGGGCAACAATCAGTCACACATCATGATGGTGATTCTGTGGGTCCGCCTATCTCTCCAGCCGTCTGTTCCTGCAGTCCTGTCAGCCTGTTGCTGACTTTTGGACTGGTTTCTGGTTTTTGCATTCTTGTTGTCCGCCCTTTCCCGGATTCGTTTGCCTAACGGACTGATTACCTAGTTTGACCCGTTGTCTGTCAATATTTTTTTTTGCCTGAGCTCCAAGTAAGTTTCCAGAACTTCATGTTTGTTGTCCAGGACTTAGTGCCTTGTAGCTGTGGCTTTTTGTTGACGTTTTACATCATAGTAAGTTTTCAGATTTGTTTTAAAAATGAATTCAAATAGGGACCTGTAAAACACAAATGCTACTGTTCACCTTTATCGCAGTAGATGAGGTAATGTTTGAGTTTGAGCTTCAGTGATTAGTTATGAGGCTTTAGAAAAGGAAATTAGTCTAGTTAGTAGATGTACCAACAAATGTATGTAAGAACGTGCCTCTCAGAGCTTCTGAACAAATGACTTGAGGTGGAAATTAAATTCTTCATTGTTTTTGAAATCTTCACAAACCAAACCAACTTATTGCCACTCGCTTTAGAGTAAATTTGAATGAATGATCAATTTGTTCTGTGTTTTCTGTCCAGGTGTTAATGTTGGTGCTGCCGTGCCTCCTGGATCTGTCCTGTGTCAGACCTCAATATAATTAGAATATACAAGATTCTATGATTTTAGAGCCTGTACTTAAGTGTCTTATAAATAATAGAGCTATTTGTTTCCCAATAGGACTTCTCTGTTGTATATCATACATCTAGCTTATGTAATGCATGTTTAGTACTTGTTCACAATAACTGACAACAATAAATGTACTTAATGTGATGCAAAAGTTTTAATTTCATTAGCACAGTGTCCAACTCTGGACCCCAAGTAATAAAACAGGTGGGTTTGTTATTGGTCCAATTAAAGTAAAGTACTTGTTCTCTCAGTATCTTACCTTTGTTTTCTTTCAATAAAATAAGTTTGTTTCTATTCTTGCTTTATCATTTGCATGATTTGTCCAATGATTCGCTTTGATTTGAAGTAAATAGCAGTAATATCATAAAAGGCGGCAAAGACAAATAGGAGTGTAATGACCTGATTTACATCATCAGATATTTTGTATTTCTTTTGGTTTTTATCTTAAAAAGGAAAATAGGTATTATTGCCACTTATTGGTAAAATGCAATTTCTGGTTGGTTGATGTTAACTTGCATTTGAATTTATTGAATATTTTTTTGTGCATCTATAATAATTATTTATAATTATTTAGAAAGTGATTTAATTTACAGTTAATATATATTTGATAAGATGTTTCTAAGGCTTGTTCAGTACTGAGAAGGTTTAATCATTTTTTTTTTGTTTGTTTGTTTTTTTAATTTGGAGAGTTAATTTGAAGGAGTTTGATTTCCGGTTGACCTCTGGGTGATCACGCGAGAAAGACGTTAGTTTGAGAGATACAAACAGAGTTGAGCGTAAGTGAGAGACGCCACGGACTATTTAATGTTTACCGAGTGATTTTGTAATGTTGAACTGTGGACTGTTTGCTAGTTAACTCGCTCCTTTGTGTGTGTGTGAGTTTGGGACTGTTTGCGGCCACGGACGTATGTTTTTTGTGTTTGTTTTCACTGTGGAGCGGGAGCGAGCTAGCTTGATTAACCGAGCTGCCGCCATTTTGGGAGAGAGACGACCGCCTTCTTCACCTGCGCGGACGAGAGTGGACGCGCTTCAGTGGAGGATTTTCCCGACGCCGAGGACGGCCTGCTACCAGACACGATGTGATTCCCGGTATGTGGTTCCTGCTGCTCGTTGCTGCCAAAGATCCTCTATACAGAAGATGCTGCATTACAGGCAGCACCAATGGTATGAAATGGGATATAGTTCCGGTCTCCTAATTGGGCGTTGTACCCCAACCCCTCCCCTGAACCCAAGGCGACTGGCATGAAATGTGACAGTAGCTAATGTTAAAATCTATCCCTGTCTAGACTTACCTCTCTGCATCCTTTGGGAAAGAAAAGAGAGATAAGTTTTTGTTGTTGTTACAGCCTATTGTTGCACAAAGCTCGGGCATTTTTAACACTAACTGATGGATTACTTGTCCCTGCCAAAATAATACATCAATACAACACTGATACAGTACAAATTTGCGCCTTTTTTGCTGCCGTTTTTATCCAGTAACGACATCTGGTATTAAGAAATGAAGCAAGTTTTATTTAAGTTTTAAAGTTTCATACATGGTTTCACATATAAGTAAGTCAATCCCAAAATAACTCTGGTCCATCTAAACATCTGGTTATCGGTCGGCAAATGATGTCGTCAGTTGCCAGATCTCGAGAGAGTATGTCACTGAGACAGAGGCAGGTCTCGAATAACGTAAATTTTCTCCAGATCTGTTTGATTTGAAAAATGTCATTTTGATGTCAGTATGTTCTGAACATCTGTGGCTTTAGAAAAATTGATTCAATAGTTATTTCGGTGACTATGGAGCGAAAGAATCTGTCATAATCTGTGATCTCGTTCACTTCTCCCATTGGAATGAATTCACTCAGACCTGCTGCTGTTCTCCTAAAGGAAATAATCAGTAATGAACCGTCTCAATTTCCCTACTGTTTCTGTTGCTGCTACTGTGGACCACAGTGTGTGACTACAGGTGTTTTCTTGTGATGTTACGTACACGTCGAGGCTATCTTAAAGAACTAACTAAACTAAAAAAGTTCCCTGATGTTAAAATAAACTCTAAACAGACTAAAATTGTTTTGTTTCTTTTATGTTTTTCGTATTGGGTTTGTACGTTATATGTGGGATTCCTGTATTCAGTTAACACAAAATCCAAACTGAGGAAATGTGTCTGTGTTTTTTCACAGTAAAAGCTGAATAACTGATAAGATAACTCACATATTTCTGTTGTAACATCACACTGGGTTATTAAAGCCAGGATTATTACCTAGACATTACCCTAGACATGTATATTACTCAATGAGATGTCTCTGTCACCATTTTACTAAGTTTGGAGTTTAAAGGGGTTTAATAATTTATTTAGTTCTGCATAAAGTGTTCTACACATCACAAGCCGGTGGTGAAAGGGTTACACGAGGATGGTCAAGAACTGTACGCTTCCCCGACAAGAGTGTACGTGTGCCTGATTTCCATCAGCATCCTTCAGTGTCTTCCTTCATCTGTTTCCTGATGACATACTGTGATGATGTTCCTCTGAGTGCATGTAAATACAACCAAATACATATATGGTACGACTCAGTTAGCAGGCTGATGTTAGCGTTTAGCTCAAACCAAAGCTGGGCCTCACAGAGCAGCTAGCATGGCTGGAGACCCTTAATCAGGTGGGACTTGACTGAAACATATTTTATCCCAGTGACAGTGAAACCATTCTCTGGTGGTTGTTTACTTTGTTAGCTGCATAATAACTTAATTATTATTTTATTTTTTTGGTTTTTCTTCAAGACTGGACAGAAATGAACCTTTCCCTGCCTGTTGCTGCCCGCTGCTGCCTCTCTGCTGTAAATGTAAATTTGCTGACTTGCGATAACAGGATTTTAATTCTCAGCCACGAAGAAGTGGTCAGTAGACTTATCCTCAACAAAACACTACTTGCCTAACCCTAACCTAAACATAACCTTGTCTTCACCTTGGATTTTGTCCTTCATTATGAGTCTGTCGTCATAACGAAGATAAATCTCCATGATGTGACTGTGTAAACACATTTAGGTCCCCACAACAGTAATACCTGGACAACACACACACACACACACACACACACACACACACACACACACACACACACACACACACACACACACACACACACACAC